TATACCAAAATCTTCTTCAAACACCTTCATCTTTTTATTTTGTTCAACCGCATCAGAAAATGCCTATTGGCCACGATGGAGAAATGGGCTTCGTCAGGCCATCTTTACTAGGTCTCTTTCCCTGTAGAGCAAGCATTACTGTCCTTGAAAAAGGTTGCCTGGTCATTCAGGAAGATTGTCAGGGAATCAATCTCGAAGTTTGTGTTTTGAAATTTGAAAAAATTTAAAATTATCTTTTAAAATTAATGGAAGTCTCTATTTCGAACAAATATAGATTTTAATTAAAGTTATGTTTGTTTAAATTAAATTTTGCTAAATTTTAGAATAGAAGAAAAAAACTGATTAAAAACAAATTTGATATTGGCATATTGATAAACGAACCAATTTAATGATTGATACTAAAAGTTTCATTTGAAATCTATTCTGCATTTCATACTACATTAACGCTGCATTTCACGTTGCATTTCACGCTGCACTTCACATTACATTTCACGGTTCATTTCTTCGTAATTCAAATAATTTTTCTTAATTTTAATAGGAAAGAAGGAAACAAATGATTAAATTCATTGCTTTCTTTTCAAAAAATATTTCTCTCTTTCATATATGTATATAAATTGAATTACTAAAGTTAATTAAACTAATAAGCCTAATTAGATGTATTTCATTTTTCTGAAAGACAAAAATGGGAAAAAAAGGAAAAAGAATAATAGAAACAGGAAGGATGACATTTGGAGGGAGAAAGAGAGAGAGAGAGAGAAAGAAAGAAAGAAAGAGAATGAATGATTGATGGTGAATAGATGAGACAGAAAAATTTAACTACAGTTTGCTAAAGATAAGCAAAACCAAGCACAAATGAAAGGAATCAATCTTTCAACAAAAGTAATTTATAATATTGGATAAATGAGAGCGTTTTCAAACAATTTAAAAAGTTCAAATAGAAAGGGAAAATGCAAATTTTGAAATTTTAATAATAATCCCGAAGGGAAAATCCTAAATAATGTGATGTGAAAATTCTCTGAAGGCTTAAACCCATTACTCTTCCAACCTACAGCTATTGAAGTTTGATCTAAAGGAGTAGTTTGAAATAGCAAATACATGGAAATTTTATATTATATATTTAATATTGGTTATTTTCGAGATTATTTAAGCTGAAAAACTCGGAAATAAAAAATACCTCGGAAATTTTGCATAATTATTAGCGAAGAAAATGTGGTATATCCCGGGAATCTTGTGTTGTCAAAGATATCATAGAATAGTAAGTGATTTTAAAAAACAAAAAAAAAGAGAAGAAGTATGTCGACTAGCATACAATGAAAATAGAAATAAAATGTACAAAAATAGCAAAGACTAAAACATAACGAATGGTAAACTTTGATGAATTCGAAAAAAAAAAGGGAAAATTCCATTCCCATCTATCATAATTAGCGACAATTTAAAATGGGTTAAGTGCGCAACACGCATGAGAAGCGCCAGCTTTTCTAATAGCAAACGATGGAAATGGTTAAAATTGCGATAACAAGTTTTGAAGAAAATAGCATCTAATATTGAAATAAACAGAACATTTGGATAAATTAACAAAATGGTAAATCTTTCTGAAAAATGCAATCATTAATTACTTAGAAGAATTGTTTG